TAGCATACGGATACCGCGTCGGAAGAACGCTTCAACTTTTGAGGTTATCTACGAATCGACCTAATTTTTGGTATCTTCATATGATGTGAAGTGCTGCTCAGACAGGCCGTGCGTCATCGATCGAGACAAGTGATAGTCAGAAGGAGCAATGTCTGGTGAATACGGTGAGGTAAAACTTCCCAATTGAATGTTTCCAAGTAGGTTTTGACCGACGCCGCAACATGTGGACGAGCATTATCATGGAGGAGAATAATTTTGTCGTGTCTGGAGTAGTAGTGCGTGCGTTTTTCCTTGAGTGCTCGGGTCAATCTCATCAATTGTGTTCGGTAGAGAGCCCCAGTAATGGTTTCGTTCGGTTTGAGTAACTCATAATACACGACACCAAGCTGATCCCACCAAACACACAACATAAGTTTTTTTCCATGAATGTTCGGCTTGGCTGTCGATGTTGAAGCATGACCACGTGGTCCCCATGATTTCCTCTTCTTTGGGTTATCGTAGTGGATCCATTTTTCATCACCAGTGACTATACGATGCAAAAAACCCTTTCGTTTATGCCTGGCAAGCAGCATTTTACATGTGCAAAATCGGCGTTCAACGTTTCTCGGCTTCAGTTCATATGGAACCCAATTTCTTTGCTTTTTAATCATTCCCAACAATTTTAAACGATGTGAAATTGCTTGTTGACTCCTAATGTAAGTGCAAGTTCTTCTTGCGTTTGGCACGAATCTTCCTCCAATAATGCTTCCAATTCCGCGTCTTCGTACACTTTCGGCTTCCGCTACGTTCTTTGTCTTCGACGTCTAACTCACCGTTCTTAAACTTTTGAAACCACTCACGACAACTTCTCTCACTTAAAGCAGCCTCACTATATGCTTCTATTACAAGTAATCGATGCGCCTCAGCTGCAGATTTTTTCAAATTAAAGAAGTAAATCAAAAGTTCCAGCAAATGACGCTTATTCGGTTCAAAACTCGACATTTTCGCACGAAAAAAATTATATGATGCTGATACAAAATCGCTAATATTTCAAGGTTATGGTGTTGCCAGATGTCCAACCTTACGATATGACGTTTTACATCTGACAATTTCAACCATAACTTACTAGTCGGGCCATCTTTTGTCAAACGGCGGAGACTTATTTGTACTCCCAATATATATATTTACATATATTACTTTGTTTACTTAAAATAAATATATTACTAATGTTATATCTTTTATGGAACAATGAATAATAATTACATAATCGTTATGTAGTAAACTTTCAAACAATAGTATACTTTACGAAATATTGTTCTTATTAAGAGCATTTCATCCAAACTAATAATTTTTTTGCGAAATACGTTGTCGTTTTTGTATTTATGTTGTAACAAGCATACAATTGTCATGTTTTTGATACATTTATTGACCCTCTCTGTACGATAAGTACGACAGAAAGAAAAGAATTAGAGGACGATTAAATGATGCTGTCTTATATTTGTGTATAAAGATGTTATATTTATTTGAAAAGTAATTGTTATTTTCATTATAATATTTAGTTCTGAAATTCTGAAAAAGCGTTACATTACATGTACACCGCAATCATCTGGCGAATATTTACGTCCATACACGTACCCGCGCACATATAATTATGCATACAAAAAAAGGTGTAAGCGTACATAAAGCGCATAAAATCTTCGCATTTGCATTATGATTACGTTCAGTTATGTCCGACGAGAAGTGAGACAGGAAATATTTTTATCGACAAACTCCCAGCACATTAAACCGACAGATAAATAGCTGGTTCTTTCAGATACTCGGGCCCATATTAATAATCGTTATTTGTAAATTTATCTCAAACGGAGGCGGCATTCCTTTTAGCATTGGGTTGTCGATTTCAATCGCAGTAATGTTTATAGCTGGAGACGACAAGCTTAACCCTTGGACGACTTGCTTTAAACTTTAAGCTGTAAGATATTGACAAATCATAACTGATTATTTTTAAAATAATCGACTGTGGTTAGTCAATTTCATATGGCTTAAAGATTAAAGCAAGATTGTGGACAAAGGGTAAGATTTCAATTTATTGTGCATAAGCGGAACACCTCACGTTGTTTATAGTAATCTTGGATGCAACGTGATATATCTATCCTGATATGCAGAACACAAAGTCTGGAGTAGGAAGATAAAACAAGTTTTTTCGAAGAATGTGTTCTTGCGACAATAATATACAGATATACTATTGTGTAATACTCATGAGATTTCCTGAAACAGATTTTGGTAATAGTTAAAATGAATATTGTACGTGGCATTCATTTGTATAATAATTAACTATATACTTTAAAATATTTGTTCACTGTCGACACTGATACTATGGCCTACTGGTAATCTGGCATTAAAACCAATTTATCTTGGTTCTACCATAGAAATAGTATAACTATATTCAATAGTAGAACTATATTAAGCTTCTCAGTATATACCACTTGAGTTGTATCTGTGTGTTTATATACCACATGTATGGTAAAAGTTCGTACCTTACATTACTGTTTAAAAAAGGGAATAGTTCATTTAAACTGCGCGAGTGCAAAACGTTGTACTTTTTCACCAGATTGGTACGACTTTCATGGACATCTAGCTGCAATCTATATGTCAATTTCTGTTTTTGTTTGCAAATAAAAATTAGTTTTATATGTAAAGCAGTGCTAACGGTTCGCGAGATTTTCTTCGCGTGGTGTAACATAGCAGTCTGCTATTGTATATTGCACAATCCATGTATATGCAGAAGGCCTACTGTCGCGGAGAAAATGCCGCCAACTGCCAAAACTGATGCAAAGAATTTTTGCTTCGGCAATTAATTTTATCCTAATTTTTATTTCAGAGACTCATTTATGAATGCTCCGTTCAGAATTCTAATAATTTTATTGGCACATCTATTCATTCGTTTGACCGTAAAGGATGCTGATTACTTGGAACATAAGCTCGAAAGTATAGAGCATATACCGGAAATAGATTCCTTGCCAAAAAAGTAAATATCATATTACGAGAGAAACTGATACGATCAATAAGATGCAGCAAGTATATTATTGCATGAAGGAAGTCACAAGAAAATAGAACCTCAATGAAGAAAGAATTGCCATAAAGAACGAGGATTTTCTTTGGGAGTTCTCTGAGTATAGAGAACATTCTGTACAGAAGATTAACATGGAAAAACGTAACATAACAGAATGTACAATTATTCACGGTAAATTTGAGGTCGGAACTTCAGCTTTCAATGTAAATTAAATTGTCACGACGAGATATCGCATGGACTTATGTATACATGTCCCAAATATTCGTACAAGATAAACAGAAAGGACAGCCTGAATAAACACATCAAACGGATACAGGGGATTACCTACGATTACGACTGATATATGTGCGTCAGGAATTTTAAAACCATTTACGATTTGAAGCGGACCAGGTTGCAGACCATACTGACAGGCAGGTGGTACATTGTGGCGAGGGAGTTTACGTCAGAAAAAGCCAAAATGTACTGTATAACCATAAAAGAAGAAAACATTTCAAGTCAGAATCCTTCTGCAAGATTTGTAAACATTATTTCACAACAAAAGAAAATCTCAAGCGGCATATCCAGGGGCACAAAAATAAATGCTACCGTCTACAGAAAACGTTAACAAGAAAAGATAATTTGGAGGAGCACATGAGGACTCGTACGGTTGAAAAATAATACTTCCGTGGTGTTTACGGTAAGACATACTCCCAGAATAGTAGTGCGTATAAGTAAACGAAGAAACAATCAGGTTCACTCAACATAATTAAGACGATTTTCTGAAAAAGAAAACGAAAAAACATCATTGCAAATATTCCGATGGTTAGTGAGACGAAAGAAAGTAGCCATTCAGATTAAACAAGAGAAACAGGAGGAAGAAAGAAATAATCTGCTTTTATTTGTGTAGTTTTCGACCAGAAAATATCATTTGAAACTTATCTACAAAAAATTTTTCTTCTCAAGACAGATTATCACCATCTCAAGACAGATTATTTTTCTACGAATATTATTATTAAATTTTGTATTTATTTGGTAATTAATTACGGTTTATGCAGATTCTTAATATATCTACTGATCTTTTGTACTTTGTAATAAACGTGATTATTAAGATGGAACTGACTTTATATTGGGCTATATACGTATGTACGTTATTTCATCTACTATAAAATCAACATATTTCTTTTTGTGAAAAACGACAAGCCTTAATACAATAATAAAGTTTCAATTGACATGTAATATATTTGCAAATTAGAAGAGACACTTGAAAAGATATTTGCTACTTTTACCAAGAACAAACGACTCTGCAAGATTCGTTGGCATTGTCGCAACTCGCTTTGTAACAAATATACTCTTTATGCCTTCTTGAAATATTTACTTAATTTCTGTATCCAAAATGTTGGAAATAATTTGAAGGATGATTAAAACGGAAAACCTTCATTGCTTTCTTCATTTTTCTTAAATTATTTTACCGTACTAATATTTTAATAATTCCCATATAATTGTCGTACAGTTAAAACATCATAAATAAATTCAATATTGATCTGTTGACAGATCTCTAATAATTGATTATTAGTACCTTATTAGTATATTATTTGATTTTATTGTAATTTGTGTTTTAGTGACTTTGCCTCTGCACTAATGATACACAATGATACCTAGTACTTCTCAAGAATCGGCACAGAACGTATCGTCTTCAAAAATTAGTAATTCTTCAGTTACGGATCGTCCGGAAACCCAGAATGTCAAGTCAAAAATGATGGCCTCGATGGAGCATGAGTACCCTTGGTCGTGCTCTGTATGCGGCAAACCTTTCAGGCACAAGCTCTCCTTTTTGAAACACAGGACCTTGAATGAATGCCTGATATGCAAAATTTGCCACATGAAGTTTGACCTGCCAGAAGAATTATATCGTCACAATGAGACGTGTCGTAGACCAGAGTATCCCCACAGCAAGTGTTCCTTTGGTGCAGATACATTGATGAGTTTGAGTGAACACATGAAATCGGTACACAATACTATCGACGATTTACCGATATCTTGTGACATACGCTTCAAGAATTTTTCAAGGCGGGATATTCTGAAAAGACATAAGGAAACATGTTATGTGGATAACATACAATCGGTAATATATGACAAGTGTGATTGCATCTTGAAGGACAAATATACCTTACAGGTGCACTTAAGAATACACACAAAGGGGAACACTTTGATGAAATGTTCTGCATGCGGCAGAAATTTCAAAAACAAGGTTCTCCTCGAGAAACACATAAGCTTGAATAATTGCCTGCAATGCCAAATTTGCGACCAGAAGTTTGACGTGTTAGAAAAATTTATTCGTCACTATACAATGTGTCTTAAACCTGAGTATACCTGTCGCGAGTGTTCTTACAAGACACGTACAAAGAACTGTTTGATTAAACACATGAAATCAGTACACAATGCTATCGACGTTTTACCGATATTTTGTGACATATGCTTCATGAGTTTTGAGAGGCAGGATAATCTTAAGAGACATAAGGAAACAGTCCATGCACAAAGCATACAATCGTTAAAATGTGACAAGTGTGATCGCATCTTCAATAAAAAACGTTCCCTAGAAAGTCACTACAGAAGAAAGCATCCAAACGCGGACACGTTGATGAAATGTCTTGCATGCGGCAGAAGTTTCAAATACAAGGTTTCCTTCGAGAAACACATAAGTTTGAATAATTGCCTGCAATGCCAAACTTGCGACCAGAAGTTTGACGTGTTAGAAAAATTTATTCGTCACTATAAAATGTGTACTAAAACTGAGTATACCTGTCGCGAGTGTTCTTACAAGACAGATACAAAGAACTGTTTGATTAAACATATGAAATCAGTACACAATGCTATCGACGTTTTACCGATATCTTGTGACATATGCTTCAAGAATTTTTCGAGGCGGTATCATCTGAAGAGACATAAGGAAACAGTTCATGTGGATAACATACAACCGGTAAAATGTGACATACGTGGTAACACCTTGAAGAACAAACGAACCCTAGAGAATCACTTAAAAAGCACACGCCAGAGGTGGACACGTTGATGAAATGTCCTACATGCGGCAGAAGTTTCAAATACAAAGTTTCCTTCGAGAAACACATAAGTTTGAATAATTGCCAGCAATGCAAAATTTGCGAACAGAAGTTTGACGTGTTAGAAGAATTTAATCGTCACGGTTTGACGTATCGTAGACGTCTGACGTGCCGCAAGTGTTCCTTCAAGGCAAGTACATTGAAAGATATGAGTGAACACGTGAAATCGGTACACAATTTGCCACCAGAAGTTTGACTTGCTAGAAGAAATATATCGTCACGACAAGGCGTGTCGTATACCAGAGTATATCTACCATGAGTGTTCCTAAAAGATAACTACAGAGGATTGTTTGATTGAACACATAACATGGAAACACAAGACTACCGCCCCTATGTTTCATGATATTAAAATCGCAGAGCATTCTTAAGAAACATAAGGAAACCGTTCACGCTAACACACAGTCAGTAAGAAGCGATAAGTGCGATAGTGTCTTCAAGCACAAATATAACTGAAACAAACATTAGCGCAAAGTATACTCACAGGAAAATTTTTTTCTGCAGAAGTTGTAATAAGATCTTCTAAACGCACGATGAACTGGGCCGACGTATCAGAGTTGAACTTGTCCGTATTGCAAGAAGATATTACAATTCACTAGTAAAGAGTCACACTTGCGGCTTGATACACGAATGAGAGACCTTTTTTCTGCGACGTTTACGACAACACGTGTATTTCTAAGGATAATTTGTACAACCATATAATGAACCATCATTCTGTTTCCTGAATGGTTGGCTATATTCAAGGAAAGTATCGTTTCCGTGAGTCAAAAGAAAGCAATTATTTAGATCACTCAAAAGAATGGGCAGTAGGAGAAAAATAATATGTTTGCAGCTCTCTTTACGTTGCATTTTCGTGACGAAGTATCTTTCTACGAATGTTACTATTGAATTTTGTATTAATTTTAATTACTTACACTGTTTTTATAGATTTTTAATAGATTAAGTGACACTCTACACGCAAAATAATAAGCGCGGTACTTAAGAAAGAAATAGAGTATGACTTTACGACGAATTATATATTATGTATTACGTAATTATATATTAATTATATATAAATATATATAATTATATATATATATATATATATTTATATAATAATGTATATATAATTACGTATAAGTATATATTAAAGAAATTATATATTGGAGAAAGAAATAGAGAATGACTTTACGATGAATTATATATTATTTATTATGTATAATTATGTATAATTATATATAACTATATAATTATGTATAAGTATATATTATGTATAATTATATATTATATATATATATATATATATATATTATTTATATATATATATATATATATATATTATTTTGTTTCCTTAAATGAAGAAAACACTGTAGAACGTCAAAATTAATGAAATTTTCGTGAATGTTTTTTGAAAAATGTACTTATCCAGTCGCTTCCCAACTTTGTAGTGTTTTTGCTTGTGTAAATAAAATATTAAAGAAATATATTTAATTTAAGAATAATGTTTATACATTGTATGTAGTGAAAGAAATGTTGAGCGTTGTCCTTATTATCAGCACATAACATACGTAGAGGCTCAATTTTAATTTATAATATTTCCATTTTTTTTGAGCCATCTAAGCACTTTTTTAATACATCATTCTTAGAATAGTTTTTTACGTTTTTTCAAACGGGTTTTTCGGAACAATGCCGTTGCGAGTCACATCTCACTCAGACCTCGCCTTGCGCGCTCATACTTGCGTGCGAGAAATGGACCTGTACGACCATTTAGATTTTGAATTTCAAAACC